ATTTAATTCTTCATTTTACCTTTTGCACAATTTTATCTTAATTTATTAATAGAAATTTTTGCGATTTAGGTTGAAATTTTATTCTTTGCTTAATTCCGCATTGATTAAATAATACAAATTTTAAAACGATACGGGGGAAAGAAAAGATTTCGCGATTTAGGTTGAAAGTTTACTCTTTGCTTAATTTTACTTTAATTTATTAATACAAATTTTGAAACGATCCGGCGAAAATAAAAGATTTCGAGAGTGTGCTTGAATATCTACCATCTGTCGCACGTGAAACGCACTAAACTCTGCCCCAGCGAAAGGGTTAATTAAGTATGCTGGATTTACACTTCTCAGAGAGTATCTCTAAAATTCTAAAATACTTTAACTTTCAAATACCCTCGCAAACTCTCTCTCTGTAGAGTCTAGACTCTAGATTCTCGCTCTCAACTGTGAACTCTGAACTATCTCTCTCACCCTTTCGCACTATGGAATCGTTACCGAGAGAGATATTTTGTCACATCCACCAAAAAGCCTGGGTCACCGTGTGCAGCCCTCTTTCACACCAAACTATCACGCACTCTGTCCAAACACTCCCCTTTCTCGCCTCTATCGCTCGATTAACAATTACCTCGCAGACGAACTCCTCCAAATCTGCGCATTCTTCCTTCCTCTTGCTCAATTCAGACAAATCACGCAGAAATTTCTAGGATACATTCAGTCGAGTTTACTGAAAAGTTTAGGTAGCCTAATCTCAAGCACTCAGTTCAAACATTCTTCTGTGGCGCCTCTAACGCTCTAAACTCAGTGACTCGCTCTAAACATTCTCCCCTGGAGTCTCTAACGCTCTAAACATTCTCCTCTGGTGCCTCTAACGCTCTAAACATTCTCCTCTGGCGCCTATAACGCTCTAAACTCTGTGAATCGCTCTAAACATTTTCTTCTGACGCCTCTTACGCTCTAAACTCAGTGACTCGCTCTAAATATTCTCTTCTGGTGCCTCTAACACTCTAAACTCAGTGCCCGCTCTAAATATTCTCTCCTGGCGTCTCCAACGTTCTGAACATTCTCCTCTGGCGCCTATAACGCTCTAAACATTCTCCTCCGGCGTCTTTAATGCTCTAAACTCAGTGACTCCGTCTAAACACTTTCTCCTGGCGCCTCTAACGCTCTAAACTTTCTCCTCTGGCGCCTCTAACGCTCTAAACTTTCTCCTCTGGCGCCTATAACGCTCTAAACATTCTTCTCTGGCGCCTATAACGCTCTAAACATTCTCCTCCGGCGTCTTTAATGCTCTAAACTCAGTGACTCCGTCTAAACATTCTCTCCTGGCGCCTCTAACGCTTAAACATTCTTCTCTGGCGCCTATAACGCTCTAAACATTCTTCTCTGGCGCTTCTAACGCTCTAAACTCAGTGACTCGCTCTAAACATTCTCCTCAGACTCCTCTAACGCTCCAAACATTCTCACAAAGTTTTTATTCCTGCAATAAAACTTGAAAAAGGTGTGTTCTAAAAACATTCTTATAAATCCTCGAGAAAAAGTTGAGAGAATCTGTAAATTTCTCAGTATCCACGGAGAATTGATCGATTCCATTGAAGAAGACAAGAAGGAATCAGAAGTTAACCTAGAAAACCTCGGTGCAACACGGCCACATCAAAGGTCACCGCTCCCGTATTAATCTTTCCTTCTTATATTCGTCCTCTCCACGTTCCCGACATGCATATTCCATTAATTTTTATAAACTCGAGCAGCCAGAGAGAGAGGGAGAGAGGAGCGCGATCGCGTGGTTCGAACACGGAATCGCAAGCTCGCGGCTGATATTAAGCTCTGTTGGATTTCTTCCGAGCTCGGCTTTAATTCATATATCATTCGGTGTCGTCGTCGCGGCAGTAAATTCTCGCGAATCGTCACGAGGAGCGGAATTTTTCACGCGGAAGATCTCGAAGACGATCGCATTCGCGGCCGAGCTGGACTTCTCTCGTGAAAGCGAGGTTCGCCGGACATGCATGAAACGGTTGTCGCGTGCAACAGGAGACTAACACGCGGAAATTTCGTCGGGGAGAAAGAATGTGAACGCGTGTGCATAAATAGGGGAATTGAAGAACGAGAGGGAGGAGGAGGAAGAGAGTAGTTGGAGGATTTATGCAAGAGGCACTAGCTCGGAGAATTGGCGAGGAATTCTTCTTAGGGGATCGAATATGCAAAAGTTCGACCGGAGAACTATCGACAGGCGAATTTATTCGGTTAATAAGCGTGTAATAATACCGTTTCCTAGCCGTTGCTCGATTTATCGCGTCGAATCGATTGGCGCCGGTACACTGTTAACAGATTTATTCACGTTTACCACGCTCGAATCAGCGGGAACTTCTTAATCTTGATTGCAACTGCACATGCACAGGCGTTGCGGAAATTTTAATGGAGACTGTGTGTGATTCAATTTATTTTGCGGTAAATTTGAGAGGTATGTAACGAGGCGAGGAGGAATAACAGGGTCTGTTCGGTTGTAAAAACCTAAAGCTGTTCAAGGCGAAGGTTTAGGCGACACGGCTCGCAAATTTACAATTATTTAGGAAACCCTCTCATCTGGCCACCAGAAGCGGCAGCCTGCCGACCGACCAGATGAACCAGGACTCGACCCTACAATGCAACAAATATTTAACAACAATACCCCCATCCTCTCGACACGACAGTCACCCCTGGAATACTCACAAAAATCCAATCAACACTCTTCAACCACCTCCACTACACATTTAAACAGCGAATAGAAGCACACAGCAAGTTGATAAAATAGTACGCACAGACTTCGATTTTAGTATTACAAGCACCAACAGTTACTTACACATTAGCATACACATTCGATACAGACACTATTATTGTAACATATCTGGTTAACTATTTTTAATACAAGTATATCGTTGTTCAACATTGTGTGATTACTCAAAATTCAATACAGTCCACTACGTATCCATCGCATCCTTCGAAAGACTTCACTGAAGATTGCAAAATCAACAGTTCGAAGTCCGCGTCATCAAACCGTCGCAAATTCTAACGTCGACGCTGTGACGCGACCAAACAGGGTCTATGGCGTTGGACGCAGATGATCGAGGAAAATCGATTTTGTCTAACGACGAGGCACAGCTCCGAAGATGTTTCTTTAATTCTGAGATTGTACTGGGTGATTGGAAAATTGTGGTGCAAAGAGGGCGAAGATAAGTCGAAATCTTGTAATTTCGATTACTCGAGAGAATTTTATTGATAAGCAAGATGATAATAGGAGAATCGATTTTGTCTGGAAGGACGAGTCACGGTTCCAGAGAAACTTCTTTAACTCCGGGATTCTACAGGGTGTAATTTTGTAATTACGATTATTTGAGAGAAATTCATAGCTAAGTAAGATAATAACTCTGATAAAAAGCAAATAATGACAAATATCCAAAGGGGAAAATCGATTTTGTCTAAAAGAACGAGTCACGGTTCCAGAGAAATTTCTTTAATTCCGAGATTAGACAGGATGCTTGAAAAACTTTTGGTGCATCACTATGCACAAATTGTCCCAGAAAAATGGTAATCTGCGCCAAAATTTATGACAGATTTTCGAAAACAAAGCTCCCTGCGAAATTAGATTATTCCACAATTTCCACTCATACCACACACACCCGATACATCTCCCTCGCTGTCAACGGTACAAACAAAAGGACAACAATCCCCCCACAATTCCGCCGTTGTATCGGTAAGTCGAAATATTACGTTGAACAAAAGCACACACGGTTTCAACGTCCAAATGAATTTATTCGTGTCATCAATGTGTCCCACATTTCCTTGAAAGCCTGATAATCGTCGAATACTTTGCCGGCGCGCGAGACAATGGCCGAAGACTGGAAACGAGCAAGAATCTCGTTCTCGATGCGAAACAACTTCTCCTCCTAAGGAGGACAATAAGGACTTTCACTGTCTCCGCGTAGAATAATAGGGGCGGATAGAGGGGCTGGGGGCGGTCGCCTATTTACGAATGAGGAAAACGGAGCGTGTGCAAGCTGCATTATGTATGCGCTAAAAGCAGCACCACCACCACCACCAGCCTGGCTCCCGTTGTGTTACGATGAATAAATAAGTAACTCTATCTGCCTGGAGATTCCTCCGTTTGCCTGGCCGCGTTTATCTTTACGCGCGATAAGATGCTGCGCCCGGGTAAATATTGATGTCTCGCCTAATTAAGCCCCCTTCTTCGTCCAATATTCTTCGGGGCTGGGACGACATTCACGCGTGCAGCACGCACGGAACCAGGCCAAGGAGACCGAGTGAAACGGCGATGCGCGTAAGGTCGAGCCATTGCAACGGGTGATCAATAGTGAAAATGCGGGCTATTTGTGAGAAATTCTACCGAAATGGTGTCATCGTCTACGACGTGCTGTCTGTGGAACGTAGTAATTTAACACCTTGAACGTTGCGGTTCGCCGCTGAAAGTGCGGTCCAAGTTTTCAGCGTTGGAACGGCGCGGCGGCTTGAAGATTGAGCTTACTACTGAAAATAGGGAAAAATGTTGGGAAAAGTTTGGTCACTGTGACGAGATACTTCGATGCACTATCGTGCAGCCACAAAAAGTAGACGTATATGTCACATAGATTGGTACACAAGAATTTTCGCGATAAGAATATTTCTGCTGTGCATTGACTGCGGTCGATATACAGGGTGTCCAATTTCTTTCGGAGCAAACTTCGCCAGTGTATTCTATAGGTACATATGAGAGAAAAATGTTATATAAACATGGGTCGTTTGAAGCTTCGTTAAAAAGTTAGAACGAAAATAGTAACGAAGTTGCCCTCGTGCTCCGTGTTATTGTTACAACTTTTTAATAAAGCTTCAAACGACCTATATTTACATAACGTTTTTTTCTTTCTTATGCACATAGAACATACTGACAAAGTTTGATCAGCAAAAACTGGGACACCCTGTATAAACAATTACTAAATGCACGTAATACGTATACATATATGCATCTATTTAATATTTACCTTTTCCTGAAGTTCCTCAAGCGTAGTTTTGTACCTCTCAAGTGCTACGCTACCTGTTATTAACTTCTTTTTCAACTGGGAGAGTAATCGTTGAACCTTTTTCATCAAAGTTTCTCTCACTAAATTTTCGTCTTTACTGTAACTCGACAAACTTGCTGCGGCCCTTTGCCAAATGGCAATTTCATGTCTTAATTCCTACAACGCGGGGACAAAGGAATATATTAAACACGTTTGTTGTGTTTGTAATTTAGTTTGTGCCTTAGCTAACGAATCTTCTTTATGCGAAAAATTGTCGAAAAGTTAAGTTCATTGCCTAGTATAAATTGAAATATAATACCTGAGTCGCAAACTTCAAGGACATGTTTTATGTTTATTTGTGTATCGATAAAATATGAAAACGATCATATTTGGATGGAAAGAGAAGATTGGAAATACATATTGTTTAAAGTACCTGTACATCTTGCGGCTCGTCGAATCTAAGAACGGCTATATCTCGGAAGATAAATCGTAGTTGAGCATATACTACAAATATCACTAGTATAACGCCAATACTCATGTGCAGTGTGAATGTACTAAAATCGATACCCTAAATAATGGCCAACATATTACAATAGTATATTATAAATGATTAATAATTATGAAATATTGTAATCAACGCTTTAACACTGTTTACTCAAATATTCTTGAAAGTTTCATAATACAGATTGAAGCAATCGATATTATTAAGCGTACAAATTAATTCGGACCCTTTTCTCCACAAACTTCAATGTTTATTTAGAAAAAAATCAATCACAATTATAATGTTCCAAATAATCTCAATTATTTTATTTGTTTCTCTCTGAGAAAGTATGGCTGTTTTGGAGTCAAGACTTTGTGCAAAAAGGCACCTAATTAATTTCTACACCTAATATATTTAAATATGCTGCCAGTTTTATATTATTTTTGTAAATACAGTATGTTCATTACGAACAGTTATTTGATCGGTATCGATCGTTTACACCATTATTAATACGAATAAAAATTTTATTCAAGCTAGATATTAAACTGGTTTAACTTAATTGTCGATGAAATATTCCCAGAAATACACGAAGTGATACTTACATTATTAATAACATCGCGATTCGACGCAATAATTACATTAGGCGGATCACCTATTGGCGTCATAGCACCCCCAATATTAGAATAAACCACCATTGCTGTTAATATCGGCACCGGATTTATTTCCATTACTTCGCATAATCGGATGGTTACCGGTGTCATTAACAGTACCGTTGTAACATTATCTAAGATCGATGAAACGAACGCTGTGAAGAAACATAATGTACCTACGAGTGGCCATAGCTTTCCTCCGGTTATCTAAAAACAACAATTATGCCAGCTTTTTAATGGAAATATTAAATACTGTCAAGCATAAATATTCGTGTAATAGAATATCTGTATAGACTGTATTAGAAAATTATGAAAGTATCACCTTGTAAGCATAGACCGCTAACCAGTCAAATATGCCTGTTTCTGCGACTACGGCGACAAGTATCATCATGGAGAACAATAATAACAACGTATCGACGTCTATCCAAGATATCAATTCATCCATAGTTGGTCTCTGTGAAAAAATTCTTTAATCTGTGATTTAATCGACTTCTTAAATTTTCCTAAGATATTCTTAGTCTCTTTCTCTGTATTACCTCATTTAAGGCCGCTAGTATTGCAATAGACATGGTCGACGCTAGCATGGCGGCTAAAGTTCTATGTACAACCTACAATTATTCGCTTAAACTATTTAAACCATTTGAAAATGTGTACATTCGTACAGTGTTAATTGTTATAATGGTGTATAAATCACAGATAGTACACGACGTCTTAGAGATGTCTATTTTTCTAACAACGTGGAAAAATTATGTCTTTAACCCTTTGACTTGTAACAACGAGTGACACGAATTCTGGTCAAGATGTGCTAAAGGCAGTCATATTCGTAACAAAAATTCATTTTAATTCTAATTTTAGATTTGACTTGTGAAACTGAAGATTGTCAAATTTAATTAATCTACAATACATTAGCTTACCTTACTTAATGTAGTACTAGAACAGTAAATAGCTGACACTTATAGATGCACAGCCAAGAAAAGAAATCGTAAGTCAAAGGGTTAAGACTTTTTTAAGAAATTTCTGAAGACAGATTTGTAACATTTGGACGTCGTTCAGACGTCTTTTGGACATCCTTAGGCTGTTACTCGACGTCTTTAAGACGTTCATAAGACGTCTGTGTGCTATCTGGGTATAAATGTACATGTACTAAAATATTGCACTAGCTACTTAATATTAACAAACGACGCTTAGGCCACGCTTCGTCCGCGGAACATCGTCGCGGACGGTAATTATACGTCGGCCTTCCGGTTTGCAGCCTGGATTGCATACGGATCCAGTACGCTGAACAGATTCTTCTGCTTCTTTTCCCTCTCTCTAGAGCTTAAACATACTCGTCGTTCTTCGCTCGTGAACGCTAGAAAAATGACGGTCGAACCGAGACTGAGAACTTCTTCCTCGTCGACATAGAGGGGGATGACGAACTATTCTTTTTCGGACGAACTAGCGAAAATTTCACGTAGAGTGTTGCAATTTCGATTGCACAGGATTAGGAATAACACGATTGTTCGGTTGTAAAAGCCTAAATCTGTTCAAGGCGAAGGTTTAGGCGACACGGCTCGCAAATTTACAATTATTTAGGAAACCCTCTCATCTGGCCACCAGAAGCGGCAGCCTGCCGACCGACCAGATGAACCAGGACTCGACCCTACAATACAACAAATATTTAACAACAATACCCCCACCCTCTCGACACGACAGTCACCCCCGGAATACTCACAAAATCCAATCAACACTCTTCAACCACCTCCACTACACATTTAAACAGCGAATAGAAGCACACAGCAAGTTGATAAAATAGCACGCACAGACTTCGATTTTAGTATTACAAGCACCAACAGTTACTTACACATTAGCATACACATTCGATACAGACACTATTATTGTAACATATCTGGTTAACTATTTTAAATACAAGTATATCGTTGTTCAACATTGTGTGATTACTCAAAATTCAATACAGTCCACTACGTATCCATCGCATCCTTCGAAAGACTTCACTGAAGATTGCAAAATCAACGGTTCGAAGTCCGCGTCATCAAACCGTCGCAAATTCTAACGTCGACGCTGTGACGCGACCAAACAGGGTCTATGGCGTTGGACGCAGATGATCGAGGAAAATCGATTTTGTCTAACGACGAGGCACAGCTCCGGAGATGTTTCTTTAATTCTGAGATTGTACTGGGTGATTGGAAAATTGTGGTGCAAAGAGGGCGAAGATAAGTCGAAATCTTGTAATTTCGATTACTCGAGAGAATTTTATTGATAAGCAAGATGATAATAGGAGAATCGATTTTGTCTGGAAGGACGAGTCACGGTTCCAGAGAAACTTCTTTAACTCCGGGATTCTACAGGGTGTAATTTTGTAATTACGATTATTTGAGAGAAATTCATAGCTAAGTAAGATAATAACTCTGATAAAAAGCAAATAATGACAAATATCCAAAGGGGAAAATCGATTTTGTCTAAAAGAACGAGTCACGGTTCCAGAGAAATTTCTTTAATTCCGAGATTAGACAGGATGCTTGAAAAACTTTTGGTGCATCACTATGCACAAATTGTCCCAGAAAAATGGTAATCTGCGCCAAAATTTATGACAGATTTTCGAAAACAAAGCTCCCTGCGAAATTAGATTATTCCACAATTTCCACTCATACCACACACACCCGATACATCTCCCTCGCTGTCAACGGTACAAACAAAAGGACAACAATCCCCCCACAATTCCGCCGTTGTATCGGTAAGTCGAAATATTACGTTGAACAAAAGCACACACGGTTTCAACGTCCAAATGAATTTATTCGTGTCATCAATGTGTCCCACATTTCCTTGAAAGCCTGATAATCGTCGAATACTTTGCCGGCGCGCGAGACAATGGCCGAAGACTGGAAACGAGCAAGAATCTCGTTCTCGATGCGAAACAACTTCTCCTCCTAAGGAGGACAATAAGGACTTTCACTGTCTCCGCGTAGAATAATAGGGGCGGATAGAGGGGCTGGGGGCGGTCGCCTATTTACGAATGAGGAAAACGGAGCGTGTGCAAGCTGCATTATGTATGCGCTAAAAGCAGCACCACCACCACCACCAGCCTGGCTCCCGTTGTGTTACGATGAATAAATAAGTAACTCTATCTGCCTGGAGATTCCTCCGTTTGCCTGGCCGCGTTTATCTTTACGCGCGATAAGATGCTGCGCCCGGGTAAATATTGATGTCTCGCCTAATTAAGCCCCCTTCTTCGTCCAATATTCTTCGGGGCTGGGACGACATTCACGCGTGCAGCACGCACGGAACCAGGCCAAGGAGACCGAGTGAAACGGCGATGCGCGTAAGGTCGAGCCATTGCAACGGGTGATCAATAGTGAAAATGCGGGCTATTTGTGAGAAATTCTACCGAAATGGTGTCATCGTCTACGACGTGCTGTCTGTGGAACGTAGTAATTTAACACCTTGAACGTTGCGGTTCGCCGCTGAAAGTGCGGTCCAAGTTTTCAGCGTTGGAACGGCGCGGCGGCTTGAAGATTGAGCTTACTACTGAAAATAGGGAAAAATGTTGGGAAAAGTTTGGTCACTGTGACGAGATACTTCGATGCACTATCGTGCAGCCACAAAAAGTAGACGTATATGTCACATAGATTGGTACACAAGAATTTTCGCGATAAGAATATTTCTGCTGTGCATTGACTGCGGTCGATATACAGGGTGTCCAATTTCTTTCGGAGCAAACTTCGCCAGTGTATTCTATAGGTACATATGAGAGAAAAATGTTATATAAACATGGGTCGTTTGAAGCTTCGTTAAAAAGTTAGAACGAAAATAGTAACGAAGTTGCCCTCGTGCTCCGTGTTATTGTTACAACTTTTTAATAAAGCTTCAAACGACTCGTGTTTATACAAAATTTTTACCTTTCTCACGTTCATGGAACGTCGATAGGAAAACATTGAGACACCCTGTGTGTGACATAACCGTCTCATAGGATCACAGAACGAGAGGACGTTAGAAACCCCCGATTTCTCTAGAACCTTAAACTTCATTCTCACACCCCGTGTAACGATTGCACTATTGAAAATTCCTCAAAGTCTTGGCGAATCCTTTGATACAACCAAACACTCGAAGTTAAATAGCCAATCAAACGAGAGGAACCGTACGAAAAAGAAACGTCCGTCCGCGCGCCACACTCGTTAAATCGATCCTTCGACGTCTGACCAAAAGGCGCCTATTCTACTTAAACGGAACCGTGGTGCCAGCGCCGCTCCAGCAATTTCTCACTGGCGAAAGGCACGCCGGATTAAATCTCGTGAGCCAGAACAGCAGCCAGTGTGGGGAAGGTGCAAATTCTCCCTCCTCCCTCTCTCTCTCTCTCTCTCTCTCTCTCTCTCTCTCTCTCTGTTCGTGAATCGAAGCATTGCTCGACGGTTCGACTGCGGGAAATCCTCGCGTTTAATCGTCGAAACCACCGCGCGGCGGACTCTTCTATGGCTACGAATCCGCAGGGTGGTCGCCGCTCGCGCGATCGATCGAAATTCTAATAGGTCCGCTCTATTTCTTTCTCGAGCGTCGCTTTAATCGGCCCGGCGTATCGACGACCTCTCCCCATTTTCTCCTCCTTGTTGTCGATCGAGGAAAGACCCATTTGCCCAAGTACAAGTCGTATTGTCCGATAAAACGAATATAAATCCGATTGCATCGGACCACACGTATTATCCCTTTTCTCGCAACGAGAAAAAAAAAACACGCACACCAACGTGGAAAAGTTCTGTCGAAGAAGTAGAGGTATAGGTACGTGAATTCTTGATAAACTTGAAGAAAGTTATGCAGGGATGAGAGTGAAGAGAGAGAGGGTTAAGTATCTTCGACCTGAGAACTCCGTGGACGTTGACCTTTCTTACCGAACTTAATTAAGTCGATTATCGACGAAGTTTTCGGGATTCTTTTCCGTAAGTCTCTCGCCTGTCTCAGTTGATAAAGTACCATTACACTTGGGATTTAATCCTTGTCTTTAATTAAATTATCTTCTTATGCAGTACTGGCTGCGTCCTCGTGTAATTTCACTGTCCTATCGATTCATTTATGAAATTCCTATCGAGTGTCAGATTCGAGCATCGAAAACATGCTTCTGTGTTTATTCATCTTTTCTAGGTTGGCGTTGTCCGAATTCTCTGCTATCTATTCTATTTCGGAGCAAACAATCGAAGACAGATTCGAATATATCGTCACCGGGATAGATTTGAATATATCGTCACGTAATAAATTGCCGCGGGGATTTCTACGAGAGGGAACCGCGTCGTAAATTTACTCTGGCAAGTATCAATTATCCCGGGCAGCTTGTTTTTTGATATTTAACAGAAATCCGTACAAGCGATATTTCCCGCGTGATAAACAGCCTGCGAAATTTCCTGCTAGTGTCCGGGCCCGCGGATATTGGCACGCGGCGAACGCGGAGAGGGCGGGTCGATAGTCGAAAACAAAGTGTCTACGTGGGAATTCGAAAATATCCACGCAGAAAATTGCGTCGAGGGGGATAATTGGCCTGCGGCGGGACTAAACTAAACGCTCGATACTCGCGAATTACGAACGCGTATTAGCGTGCCGAGCAAGCGAGCACCGTGACGAGTTC